GCGCTCGATTATCTCTCCGAAAAAATACAGCCTTACATCGATGTGCTTGGTTTGCTCATGATAGGCTGAATTCATCGACATGTGTCTTGCACTTTGACTATCACATTTAATAGTGATAACTCAACCTTGAAGTTTCAACTCCTTTACAAAACCTTCATTCTACAATGCTTCTTTCACAGCTTCAGTGAGGGCAACATATTCAACTTTAGTGGTTGATAAGACAACAACCTTTTGAAGTGTCGCTTTCCAACTAATTATTGTACCGAACATAGTGAACATATATCCAGAAATAGATTTTCTAGAATCCATACAACCTGCATAATCAGAGTCGAAATATCCTTCGATTTCAACTTTGCTATCATCACCATAGGCTCTACCATAAATCAGGACTCGACTCAGAGACCTATTCATGCACCTGAGAATCCACTTCAAAGCTTGCCAATGCGTCTTTCCAGGATTCTCCATATACCAGCTTGCAAGGCTCACTCCAGACGCTATGTCTGGCCTCGTACAGACTATAACATACATCAAAGGACCTACTACACTAGCATATGGAATGCTACTCATATAGATTCTTTCATCTTTAGTACTCAGGCTTTCAGTAGTAGTAAGCTTAAACTGAGAGTTTGTTGGAGTCACAACAGGCTTTGAATTCGACATGTTAAACTTGTCGAGAACCTTTCGTAGGTATCTCTCTTGAGATAAGCATAATTTCGACTGTTTTCTATCTCTCCGGATGTCAATTCCAATAATCCTGGTGACATCTCCCAGATCCTTCATTTCGAACACCTTATTGAGTTCATCCTTCAGTTTCATTACATCCTCGACATTGTTGCTAGCTATAAAGATATCATCCACATAAAGCAACAAAATAACAAGTGAGTTTCTAGGTCAAAATCTAAAGTAAACAAAGTGATCGAACTGGCTCCTAGTGAAACCAATGTGCACCATGAACTTGTCGTATCTCCTGTTCCACTGTCGAGGAGATTGTTTCAGACCATACAAATACCTAATCACCTTGCACACATAATCTTCCTTATCATTTTCTGCATACCCTTCAGGTTGCCGCATTAGGATCGTTTCATCTAGATCACCATACAGGAAGGTTGTCTTCACATCCATTTGTTCAGGTTCCAGGTTAAACTTCGCCACCATGGCTAATAACATTCTAATGGATCTATGCTTTACAACAGGCAAGAACACATCATTGAAGTCGACACCTTCTTTCTGAATGAACCCCCTAGCAACCAACCCATCCTTAAAGCGCTTCGACACCACTCCTTCAATTCCTTTCTTGACCTTGAAATTCCACTTATAACTTACTAACCTCGCTTTTGTAGGTTTCTCAATCAGCTCCCAAGTGTTACTATCATGAAGAGATTTCATCTTGTCATCCATGGCTTTTTGCCATTCAGTCTTATTTCGACTCATCATATCTTCCTTGTACTCTCTAGGTTCTTCCTCAAGTACCTTACTTACAGAGATTAAGGCAAAAGCTATAAGATCTGCATAACCAAGTCTCTGAGGTGTCTTGATGAGTCTTCTCGACCTATCTCTTTCCAATAGGTAGTCATTAATAGTTTCCTTAGTCTCTTCAGCATCTTGCTCTTCTTCTTTGACTTCATCTGGGTTATGCACTTCAGCATTATTATGCTCCACCTCAACAAAAATCTCTACCTGTTCCAGCTCCTCTTCAGAGAATTTTGCACTTCGACCAGCGTCACCAGTTTTCTTGAATGCCATCTCGACTTCATTGAAAACTACATCACGACTTGTGATACATCTTTTGTGACCTGGTTCTAGGCACCACAGCCTATAACTTTTGACTCTCTAAGGATATCCAAGGAACATGCATCTCAGAGTTCTAGGTTCGACCTTGTCTTTCCTAATGTGAGCATAGGTCAAACAACTAAATACTCTCAGTTTGTCGAGATTTGGTGGTTAACCCGACCAAACTTCTTCAGGCGTCTTCATTCCCAATGTAGTCGGGGGACATCTATTTATCAGATAAGTAGTTGTCAAAACAGCCTCCGCCTAAAACGCCTTCTTTAATCCAACACTAACCAACATGCATCTAACCTTTTCAAGAATTTTTCAATTAAATCTCTCAGCTAAGCTATTTTGTTGAGGAGTACCTGTTACAGTATTATGCCTTGCAATTCCATACTCGACACAATAACTGTTAAAAGCTTCATTGCAGAAATCAAGATCATTGTCGATTCTCAACCTCTTAACCTTTCTGCTAGTTTGAGTTTCGACCAGAACCTTCCAACTTTTGAAATTCTTTCATCCTTAGTCTTCTGAATGAATACCCATAATTTTCTGGAATAGTCATCAACTATGGGTATAAAATACCTTGCACCTGAATGTGAAGGATTCCTTGCAGACCCCTAAAGATCAGCATGAATGTAATCAACACCACAAGGACATCAAATGATTCATAATCATCTTGCAAATAGCTGCATTTTCATTGTCCTTACCACCATGAGTATTCAGGCGCTCAAGACACACCTTTCTTGTGTGTCCCTCCTTCTTATAGTGATAACACTTAATACCAGAAATATCACCTCCATAAGACTTCTGCTAAGTTTTACCTTTCTTCTTCTCGAACCTAGCATCACTTTTCGAGAATTTTCCTTTAACGGACAACCCTTCGCCAATTGATGATGATTTATGCTCCTTTCTTTCATTCAAATCCTTAAAGTACAAGGCTGCTTGAACTTCTTCAAATGTCAGAGACTCTCTTCCATACAAGTGGAATTCTTTAAAGTGAGCATGCAACTTAGGTAAAGAACACAACAATAACAACGCTTGATCTTCACCATCGATGGTAACATCAATATTTTAAAGATCAAGAATCAGCTTGCTAAACGTATCCAGTTGCTTCGTCAATGCTTTATCTTCATTCATCTTGAATGAATATAAAGCTTGCTTCAAGTACAAACGATTCACCAAGGATTTTGTCATATACAATCTTTGAGTTTCAGCCAAACACCAACTGTCTCATCTCCTTCGAAACCTACCTGAGAACCTTATCACCAAGACTCAAAACAATTGCATTATGGGCTTTCTCGATCATCATTGTCTTATCCTTCTCCGTCAATGCAACATCCATGACATCTCCTCCTTTTAACGTATTTAGCAAACCCTGTTGAATAAGAAGAGTTCGCATCTTCAAGCGTCATAAATTGAAATCATTAACTCCGGTGAACTTCTCAATTTCAAACTTTGTCGACGACATCTTGCTCCACGCTCACCGCACCAGTTTGTTGTGACAAACAATACCAATTAACAAATTCTTGATTGAGAAACGAAGTTTCTTGGGTGAACAGTGAAATGGTTAGAATAAAGAGAGAAAGAAGAAAGAATAAAGAAGAAAGAAGGGGAATATGATTTTGGGCTACTGTTTTCTATTCACTTTCTTATTTAGGGTTTACAAATGATTACAAATGAATAACACAATTGGCCTCTCTCGACAACCTGAGAGATCTAGCTTATTTATAGACTAACTAGCTAACTTACATTACAAACTAACTAAACAATTGAATCCTTAACACAAGGCTCAATTCGACATTATAATTTCGACAATACATATTAGAACTGACTTCGACTACAATATGTAACACTTAGACATGAACATGTGAATCATCTTCGACTTCATACTTGTTCCCTGTCAAAACCTGAAAGTTATCCCTATCGACAGAACTAGAATTCCATCCAATGATCTCACACACATAATACCCACCTAAATACTCAAATGTGATAATATTTGTTGCTAGTCACGATTCTATGGCTAATATGATTGTTTTCTTTATAAATAGCATATATTGTAAACTTTAACACACATTTTATCGATTAATCTAGTCTTTCGTGCATTTTATCGCCTTTATCTATATTTTTATTTTTTAGCATTTTTTAGATTAATTGTTCAAAGTTCTCACGTTCATAATTAACACTTTTAAATAGTTAAGGAAGTCACAGCTCATAATCATAGTTCCCCTCCCCACATAATTGCTTGAAGAAAAAAAAGTCACTCTTGAGAACTATATGCACTAATTTTCAACTAACTTTTACAATTTCATAATATGTTGTACATTAAGATTAACTAATTATATAAAATCATACTCTGATATGCTCTTGAAATATAGATATATCTTAACTTAAAGCTTAGAAAATGTTGTAAAGTGAAGTCTCATTCAATAAGACAGTCTTAACCTTTGAAACACACAATATATTTATTACATAAAATAATAGAGAGTTGAAATGAGGCATAAACTCAAAAAGGAGAAAAGCACAAAAAGATGGATTGATGAAAGGGAAAGCATGACATGAGAATGGAGATAATGAGGGAAGAAGAACTTTGTGTTGGACAGGAAAAGGATGAGATAACTTACAAGTGATCCTACCATGCCACGTGGATGCTTTATTTATTTCACGTGGCAAAAGCTGGTCCCACATGGGTCCCTCACTATCGACTTCTACATCATTTTCAGTCATAAATAAACTACACAAAAGAAAAAGTACTTAATTATAACTAGAAGCTGAAAAAGCTCAAGAGATTGAATATATCAAGTTGGCAACATGCAAAAAGTAATGTGAAAGTGTCAATTAACAGCCGCCAAATTAAGTTATATGTTACCTAAGGAACTTATTTCCTCATGCACGTTAATGAAATATTCTTAATCCAAAATCTAAGTGTGAAATGCATCCATGCATGCATGGCAATGTAGAATACACGAAAGAACAAATAACAAGCATAGCATCAATATTCCAATATCAAAGGAGAAGAGATCAAGTTTTATATTTTTAATACTATATAGTATACATGTATATGTATATATTAATATAAAGTATACTATACTATATAGTAATAATAATCATTAATTCAATCTTGAAACCTAAGATATCAGGAATAATGTAATTGATCAAAAAAACAAATGAAAAGTAGAATTCAAAGTTGAAAAAGAAAAGAAACATAGAGGTGGACACAACATTCAAGTATGCTTTTTTGTTTTTCCAATCTTTCTCTCTTTTTGTTCTCTTTATCAAAACCCCAAGCAACCACAACATTCCACCCTCCCTCTCCTCATTGGCTCTCAACATTCTCTCTCAGTTTTTCTCTCCCAGTTTCTCCCTTAGGATCTTCTTCCTCCTTTACTAAGGTCTTCATTTCTCTCTCTCTCTCTTTTAAACCATCATACTTAACTAATTTAGTTTATGTTTGTTTATGAAATCAGGTTTTGATTTTATTTTGGTTTGTTTTTGTGGCAGGGTTTGATTGAGGAATTGTTGTGCAGTTTCTTGAGGAAGCTCTAGAGTTCTTTTTGTAGATATCTCTATACTCTTTGTTATCAATTTATTCAAATAAAGAGGGGGTGCATATAGTAATTTGGTGAGTTATTAGATTATAATGGCACCTGTTTCATTGCCTCCTGGATTTAGGTTTCACCCTACAGATGAAGAACTTGTTTCTTATTACCTCAAAAGAAAGATTAATGGCCGTCGAATCGAATTGGAAATCATCCCTGAAGTTGATCTTTACAAGTGTGAACCATGGGACTTACCAGGTACAGTCTTATACTATTTTGATGATTATCATGATATGTTTGGATGTATATGATCTAAAAGAGTTGTTGAATAAAACAGTTTTTTTTTTTCATTTTGTTTTGATTGGGAGAATCATTATTGGTTAATGTGGATTGCAATCAGAAGTGCTTTTAACAGTGAAAACAAATTAAAAGAATCTAAAAAAAGTGGAGGCACATTTCTTTAGACACGATTTAGCTTCTTCTGATCTTTATTCAATGATATACCAAAAAACACATGCTTGCTTTATTGGTCAAGTATATTTTTCCACTTTGGTATAGAATATTTAGGAGTGTACTTAAGGTTGTAGGGTAAATGGTCTTTCTATTATAGGGTTACTGTTGTGAACATCAAGGTACATAGTAACAAGGTTTTAAAAAATGTGTGTTCCCAACGGTATTAGAAGATGCCAATATACATATCATGTTATTCATCGTTTTTATGATAAATAATAAATTATGGTTAATTCACACAGACAAAACCATCTTAACACGTGTACAGACTGAAATCATGAAAGTCTTTACGTGACTGTGACATTTATTTAAAACCTTGCATGGTAATGAGAAAAATAGTTGGATTCCCAAGTAAAAAAAACAGTCAACAAATTAAAGATGCATATAGTTTTTTTTCTTCTCTATATTAGTGCAATTTTGAGCTTTTCAAAACATGCAAATATATATATAACTAGAGGTGTTTCTGAAAAGTATTGTCATTGTTATAGGGAAGTCATTGCTACCAGGAAAAGATTTGGAATGGTATTTTTTCAGTCCACGAGACAGAAAGTATCCAAATGGATCAAGAACAAATAGAGCTACAAAATCTGGATATTGGAAAGCAACCGGGAAGGATAGGAAGGTGAATTCGCAGACTCGAGCTGTTGGAATGAAGAAAACCCTAGTTTACTATAGAGGAAGAGCTCCGCATGGATCTCGTACCGGTTGGGTTATGCATGAGTATCGTCTTGACGAAAGAGAATGCGACAATCCTTCTTCAGGATTGCAGGTTCGAACTCAAAACCTCTGATTATATATATAACTAACTTTTAATCAAATTATAGACGGTAAAATATGATTTGATTATATAAAAATATTGCGATTTCAGGATGCATATGCGCTATGCCGAATATTCAAGAAGAATACAGTGATTGTTCCAAAAGTTGTGGATCAGCAATATGTTAATAATGTGACTAGGCATGCAAATCATATGACAAGTGATCAATCATCAAGCATTGAGTTATATTCTGAAGGAAGAGATGAAGTTTTAGAGAGCTCAAATTATTTGATGCCATGGGATTCAAACTCAACCCAAACCCTAAATGGGACTAACACTTTTAGCAACAATGGTGGAGATATCACAAGGGATAATAATGGGATTTGGACACAATTTTTATCAGAAGATTTACTCAATCTCCCAACATCTTCTTCATCGTTTCCCAATTACGGATCCACGCCGAATTACCCTCCATCAAAGGTACTACTAGTTTCTTCTTCAGCATTTCGTTGTATTTTCTCATAATGTACTAATGTAAACATTACGCGCGAAAACATTCAGATGCACTGAAACTTTTTACATGTCAATAGATCGAATGGTTACGATAGATTTACATGTCTATATGAATAAAAATAATTTATTTAACTATTTGTAGGTGGATATTGCACTAGAGTGTGCAAGGATGCAACATAGGTTCACCATGCCACCCTTAGAGGTGCAAGACTTTCCTCAAGTTGGTATTTCTGATCTGAAAATGACGCAATTCGCCTCGGGTTCGATGTGTGAAACCAGAAATGAAACAGATATCTTGCAGGAAATTCTATCTGTGGCTCAAGCTTCTCAGGAATTGATTAATCAATCAAACTACTCACATGCATTTGGTGGCAATGAAAACTATGGTTCTCATGTTCATGATAATGATTTTACTTTTATGGTTGGCAATAATAATAATTACAATCATATGAGTGATCATATGATGAACTCCATGAGATATGATGACAAAGCTTGGGAAGATCCAAACACAAGATCAATAGAGATTGGGAATCTTGATGATGAATTCAAGACAGAAAGGATGGTTGAGAATTTAAGATGGGTTGGAATGTCAAGCAATGATTTAGAAAAGGTATGATATATTTCTAATATTTAATTTAATATTCACAAATAGATTTATAAATTGTTAGGCTAGAACCCTAATGTATATATAATTAATAAGTTAACACTTTACTTTATCATATGATTATTTAAATAATTTGACAGAGTTTTATGGAAGAGCATCAAAAGGTTGTTCCAATTGAAGATATTTCAAGCTTCCACACAAATAGGAAAGAGAATGAGGTGCAAGGTATTATTATTAATTATTATTGTTTTATATAATTACTCGTCAAGTAACGCATGGACACAATCGAGACCGATTAACATTTTATATAATTACTAGTCAAGTAACATGGACGCAGACAGAGACTCGACTGACACGTTGATATTAGTAATAATATGGAAAAATAAATAAGCTAACGTCACAAATGGAAGTGTCTTGTCGGCACTAACACATTTTTTTTAGAAGTGCGGTGTTATAGAATTTTTCTCAACTTTATATATTTGTTTTCGAGAACCAAAATTATTAATAATAGGTTTTGTTTTTGCAGTAGAATCTGAGCAACAAAATATGAACAAAGAAATCAATGACACTGACATTGATAATTTCTCAATGGAGTTTATCAATGATAATGATAACCCTAATGAGAATTTTATTGACGATGGTACTAACATTGATTATTCAAATTCTACAAGCTATGAAGTTGTTGAGGAAACAACAAAAGTTAGTCATGGAATGTTTGTTGCTACACGTCAAGTAGCAAACACATTCTTTCACAAGATAACACCTTCACAAACAATCAAAGTTCAACTGAATCCAATCATGGAAAACAACAAATTCATAGAGAAAGCAAAGACATTGATGATACCAAACAAACAAGGTTACTCTCTCTTAAGGAAAATGAAGACCAATTTGATGGAGTACATGAAGAAACCATCAAAGACAATAGCAAGTGCCATTGTGTTTATATTTGCACTTTTTTTGGTGCTTTGTCTTTATTTGAAGGAGCAAGTTGAAGAAATGAAACCAAAATCAGAAAGTGTGAAAAAAAAGTATTGCTATGGAGCTAATAGCATGAAGAAAATAATTTGGAATGAGAAAGAAAAAGCTTGGTTTGTTGGTATCAAAAGTGGAAAAGGTTTTGATGTGGTGTTGAAGAAGATAGGAATTTTTCTCACCATATCTTTGGCTATTTGTACTATGTGGGCTAACCATATGATATAGTTTGTTCTTGAATATTTTCTAATTTCATTTTGTTTTTAGTTTCTAACTTAAGGATTTCATATAGAAAAAACAGTTTAAATTCTCAAATTGAGGTTCTTTAAATTATGTAGGGGATTATTGGTTATGTATCCAAATACTTGTAATTTTTTTAACTTGGTCACACATATATGTTATTTGATTAAGAATTTATTGGATTTAATACTAATTATATAAATCCTTTATTATTAACTTTAGTTTTTCTTTAATTTTGTTTCTATTGAGATGTGAATGATAGTCCATATCATGAACCTTAAATAAATTCAATATTAAATATATAAGACGACTCATATTTTTCAATGTTTTAAACATGTCCTAAAAACATGTTAGAAAGAGAGAATCTCTAACATCTCTTTAACCTTTCCTATTTCATTCACCTCTTTTGATATACCAACTCCAGTAACGTAGTTAGTCTCAACCTATGTCTCATTCTTTCTTAACATGGAATGTAAAAACGTAGATAGAAGAAGGAAGTTCAGAGTGAATGAGAAATCAAAATGGGATGCCCATTTGACTAGCAAGAAGCATTCAGGAGAATTTAGAAGCATATCATCCTTCTTTTTCAATAGGGCTTGCACAAGAGAGTTTTTGAGAAGCTTAATTCATAGATGTTGAGATGTTTTTTAATATGGTTAATATTAATTAAAGCTCATTTGAAATCCCTTTGTTACAAAAGGAATTATCTGTTGCATCCCAGTTGTCTTCTGCAAATTTTTGTTTAAGTCTTCACGTGATCAGAAGAATACAAAATATTCTCAGAGTTTGATAGTGACCTTTCAGAATCTCCTCGATTATTGTGTTGACTAGATCTTCAAAATATGGATCTTCTGAGTATGGATCTTCTGAGTCTGACATCATTTAGAGTCCGGTCTACTGAAGAGAAATCGTGATCCAAAATGCAACGAAAATTAACAAATTTCTCTTTAGTGATCCTTACGAATGGGCATGATCCGTGATAGAAACGATTACCTCTTGTGGCGATAAAATCTTTGATGTTAAATCGAAGGAGTGATCACGAGGGTTGAATGATGAACAACGCCTCTACTCAGTCCACACGAATAGACTCTTTCAATCTGAGTGCTAGCTGCTACGATATCTTATGGTCTACTATATATACCTAAGCGTGTGGTACCTTACCACAATTTGTATTCTACTTAAATGCATCGTACCTTACGATGTTCTACATTTACTTAAGTGCATCGTATCTTACGGTGTTCCTTACTTACTCTACCTCTTATCAATTTGTTCTTATGTGTATGACCCTGTAGGTTTTTGCAACATTGACAATTATATTAAATCACGCATTTAACATGATAAATAGTGGGCAGTATCTAGCAACACATCATTGTTATCCAAGTCATGAAAATGTCATGTGATCTGAATAAAACTTTTGTGATAATACTTGTGTGTACAATATCCTTTTACCCTTATGTCTATATTGAACACAAGACATATATCTTGTCATCCTTGTCCAGTTCAATATTGAATCCTTAGACATTTATCTTGTTATGCAGGATGAACAAATTTCATCTAGGTCACTCATGTCCCTCAACATGCTTTGTGGAGTACCTATCAACTGCCTTTGTGGTCATCCAATTACGAACAATGTTAGATCAACAATAAAGTACTCGAGTCTACATTTAGGGTCGATAGTGGTTTCAGGTTGAAGGGTGGTATACACCACTATCACCATTATAGTAACTTATGACACTTTGCATAACATTCTATGTAGTACTCTCATAGCGGGTTAATCCAGTATAAATATTACTCCTAATATTCATATTTATGTTAATGCTTGATAACTCCTTATCCATGACCCATGAGATGTGATCATCAGTCCATTTATATAATAGTCTTAATGCTTTAAGGTTATCTCACTTCATAGTAAAGCTCGACTACAGATACTTTAAGAATAATACCCTTATGTTTAATAGGAACTCATGATTAAGTCACACTTAATATTTCATTAAACGGACTAACTATTCAAGGGATTTTATTATTTTGGAAAAACAAATATAATAAAGAAATGTCTTTTATTAATAAATAATTCGATACAAGTACCAAAAGTATTGTCCTCTAAGGCTTACACCAACATCTTCAGCTTTTGATTTTTCAAAATATGGATCTTTAACTTCTCTTTAAATGTCTATTCTTAGTACCAGTACTAAGTTCTCTTCAGAAAGTTTAGAATATGGTCATGCACACTTGAACATTTGTTAGTATAACATATTATTCTTGAAGTACTTTGTTTTCATCAAAACCTTAGAGATATGGTTGTTTACCTGGATAAATATGTGGTTGTGGTTGTCTGAGTTTGAAGTAGAGGTGTTAAGGTTTTTGAAGGTTGCCTCTTTGCAGCTTCATCCTAGCGGTCGAGCTTATATAAGGGTATTTTCAATTCTAGGCCAATTATTTGTCTCAAAAGCTTTCATGTCGACTATTCTTCCATCTTTTTTTATTATGATAATTAGATTATTTATTTAATTGATTATGATGAGTTTTTATGAATATTCCTTGTGAATATATGGTGTTTTGTGAAATATGATGTGTTTTATATGTTTTGTTGTGGGGTAGAACGAATTAAGATGAATATGAGGATTATTTATATTTTAGATGATTAGTTTTAATTATTTAGAATTGTTTTAATATTAAAATAGAGATAATACATGGTGTAGAAAGGATAAGGGCAAAGGGGTAATATTCATGAGGATTATTGAGGGTAAGTTGGGAAAGACATATTAGGGGTCTAAGGGTTAAACAAGGAAAAGAGGGGAAAAGTGTTTCATTATATACGATCATGTTTTGAGAGAAAAAGAGAATTGAGAAAGGCTAGGGCTCAAAGGAATTGATGTAGAACTCAAAGAGGAAAAATCATATCTAGGAAAATCTAAGGTATAGGGAGTATTGCTTATCATTGTAATTGATATAGGTCTTAGATGTATGTAGGTTGCTTGGAGTTTCGTGATGAATTTATGATGAAATTGGTGAACTATTGATGTAATAATGCTATGAATTGGTATAGGAAATTGAGTGGTAGTATATGTGGTTATTGTATGATGAAAAAATGTTGAATTATGTGTATTTTGGACTGAGTTCATATTGGAATCAGAAGGAATTTGGGGTCTAGACTGATGCAGAATTGTAACTGAGAAGTTGGTGTTATGACAGTTTCGCCGGGCGAACATCCTACATCGTCGGGCGAAGCAACTTTGCCCTAGCAACACCGGGAGAGAGTAGAGGCGAAAGGAGGGTGAAAAGAATGTGCTCCTGGAAAATGTATGGGAGGCGTGTTTCGCCCCTGTTTCGTCAGGCGAGCGGACTTCTTCGTCGGGAAAGCCTCAGGCGAGCAGACTAAGACAAATTCATTTCTAAAACTTTGAAAATTCATAACTCAAGTTGTGAGTGTCCGATTGATGCGTAGTTCAAAATGTTGGAAAGTTGGTTTAACGTGTTTTCTCTTAAAAATATTTTCAGTACCATAAGTCCAACTATTTGACACGTGGACAATTATTTTGTACTGTCGGGTTATGTCGTTTTGTGAAATGTATGAAAAAGCTTTGTGTAATTAATAATTGGTGTTGTTCTATGTTGAATGATAGTAATGATATTGTTGTGGAATTAATTATGATGAATTTGATGTTGAGGTGATGTGATAAATGTTACTTGTAGTGAAGTTTGATGATGTGCATGATAACCTTATGTATAAATGCTATGTGATGATGATTATGTGATGAAGATAATGTGATGTGTTGAATGAAGTTGACATTTAAGCATGTTTGATGTGCATATATGCTACATGAAGGATGTTATTATGATAATTACATGAATTATGATGCAATTGACTAGTCGTGGTCGAATTATTATTGGTGTTGTGCATCATACATTCATGGCATGTGTTAGGACGTTTGTCTAGTGACGATGTTAGGACTTCAGCCCAGTGAAAATGTTAGGACTTCGGTCCAGTGGTGGCCTCAATCCTATTATGTGGATTGAGTGTGTTTTATGATGTGTTTTGATTCCAAGTGGGAATCGATCCTATGGTGGGGATCTTTGGAGGGGGATGACCATGTGTTCATCAAAGTGTTGGTACCACATGCACGAGTCAGTGTCTATGCATTACATGTTAAGTGACATTGCATAATTATGAGTTGAACGATATTTGATTATGTTGTGACATAAGTGATGTTTTGGTGATGATGATTGATTGATGATATATGGATGTTGTGAATGCTTTAATGAAGAGGCAGTGTGAGTATGTGTGTGATGTATGATGAATATATGAACTATTGATAATTGTTGTTCTAACTACTATATCTACTTCTTATATATTTTTATAATGATTTGTGATTATTCACCTTGCCTGTTTGAATGTTGCCTCCAGGTGGGTAACGCGCAGGTGATCAAGATTAGCTTATAGATGCATGGAGACTTAGCTTTAGAGTCATTTTACTTTATTTCAGTTGATTAGGGGATGTCTTGCTCTGATATGTAACATCGGGGTCGGGAACATTTGAGTGGAACGATATGTTCTTTATTTTTAATTAATATGAAGTTAAGAAGTTGTATTTAATTATTTAAGTGTTTTGAGTCATAACTTTGAATGGCAGAGTGCGAGGAAGTTTTCTTTGAAGTATTTTAAAATAAAGATGTTTTGAGATTAAGATTCCCGTTGCGATGGTTGCAAATGTTTATTGAATATATTGAGGGAATAATTGTTATAAATGATTTGAAAGCCCATGTTACAGAGCAGGTCGATCCATATTGATGTTTTTGTGAAGCATTTGACACCCTTGTTGGTGTTTTACTCTTATTTATACGTTAAATTATTCATTGGGTTTAAAAGGGTGTTACAGGTGGTACCAATAGTATAGAGAGGAAGGGAATTTTTTGGGAGGATAGAGTCAACCTCTTGTAGGCTTTTTTTAAATAAAAAACTGGGTATTTGGTATTTTCAAATGGATGAA